GAAGTCATTGACTTCGTGTTTTCACACTTGTTATATTAGCAGTCTGGAGGAGTAGTATGTATACAGAATCTGCATAGGAAGTTTCGTTCTCAGGTTTACTGTATACGAAATCAGTACCTTCAATAGACTGACGCAACGGAAAAGGCAAATAAACTTGAATCGGCGTATTTTCTTCACGACCGTTCAGCAACAATCTGGTCGTGTGTATCCGGTGGATTGCCGCTTTTGCTTGTTGGCCATCATCAACTTGAATTAGTTCCGCGTCATATTGTTCCGACGATGTATAAATTACCGAGCGCGCAATGTTTCAAATCATGGCACAAGAAGACTGCTCTGTATTTGTTTGAAATTCAATTGCTATGTTATATTTAAACAAGCAAATTGTAATCCGTTCTTAGGATGTTTATATCAGTTGTTGTTTTGTGGGATTAGCGGTACAGGGGGAAAGATGAGCATTCATTTACTCAGTGGACAGAGGCGGATTTAATTACCCATGAGCACTATTGAGGGGTTCCCCTTGAAGCTTTACCTACCTGTTGCAATAACTTGACGAGAAAAAAATGCTTTGGGTGAGAAATCTATGCATTCCTACTTCCATGAATGCAGTTGAAAAAAAATAAAATTCACCTGCAAAAACAGAATTAACTAATACTTGAGTCTGAAAAATCTGTCAATGCCACCAGGGTGAAGACGTATTGAAGATGGCTGCTTCAAAGAAGAATCTCTATGTATTTAAGAAAATTCAGGATCACCGGGGAGACACTGCATTCAAACATGTTGGCATACTGCATAAGTTATCAATGAGTAAGGTAATGATGTTATACACCATACATGTACAACTGTATTGTCAGCACTTGGTACCCCATCATTGTGAAAACTTGATGAGAATATCGTTTGAACAACGTAAACTTACGAGTAACTTTGTGTAACATACATAGTAAATTATTAAAAGGTTCATCTCCAGCAATTTTAAAATGTTCACTACTATGAAATGTTACCGTTAACTTTCAATTTACCTGACAATTTAACTCGCACAAAATTAAAGCACTTTGCTGTTAACCATTCAACTTCACCAATATAAATTGATGTGATTTGATAATTAGGATGCAACTTTCAAAATTCTTTGTGACACTGTCTTTAGGATCCCACTGAATGCTTACTGCTACAAAACTTCTCTCAAAATGCTCTTTACTTCAAGTCTTGCTATAAAACATTTTGAAATAGCTACTCAATGCATAAATTAACAATCTTAATTTAAACTAAAGTGTATTTATACATGTATTTGATTAGCGACATCTTGAAATTAAGGATTAGCTAAAACAATATGCTGGCTGCAATAACATTTTTTACAGTATACGCTACAAGTTCAAGATAAAATATCTGCAATAGTTAAGTCAATTTATTGTATTCATATAAGCCTGCTATTATAAAATAATTTTCAACATTTGTCTTTGTTTCCAGGTATGTCGTACCAGAGTCATGTACACCTTACCATTTGTTACATTCTTTGTGATTGGTTTCATACCTGAATTAGATTATTCAATTGCAATCAAGCTATTGTTGTTTGGTCTATGCTACGTGTTATTTTGGTTCTTGTCAAAGTAAGTTACCCGATTAAGTAATATTCATAGTACATATCTATTTTGGAAATAATCATTTTCGCAGATTTTAATCTGTGCATATTTATAATTTAGCAATGATTTTTCGTTGCTTTATATCAATACTGTAAAAATGCTCGTTTCCTCAAATTGTTAATTTGTTGTGGAAAAATAAGCAACAAAGTGATCAATACAAAGTTCATTTTCGTATGTCTATAACTAGACATGCCAGTGTTAAAGCATTACTGTCATTAGAACTGCACTTGTGCTTATTCTTCCTAGTTGGTCTTTATCTACATCATGCTTACTATGTATTAAACACAATCCAAAACAAAAGCTTTGGTCATAACAGTACTTTATTGTCACAACAAAGCTTCAACTGTGACCATGCATGACTTTTATTGTACGAGGCTTCCCAATGTATATGTGCAGATGTGCAGCTTTGATGACAGAGTCACTTCAAGTGCAGTGTCACATTTGTCAGAATGAATGTGTGATTCTAAGTGTCAGTTACTCATACGGAAATCTCATCTCACATACAAGTCACATACATGCTCAGTTTGTACCTAAGTATATTTACGTAGTTATAGAGACTTACACTGAGTCATAATTCCCTGTACATATTTAGTCCCTTCCTCTTTGTATCCGGAATAAAACAATGATTTACCTACTCTCCTCTCATCTTACAGATTGTTCTTTGATGAGCGTTATGGTAACATTATGCCAATATCAGTTTACCTAGCAACTAAGGTATTGATGTACTCATCATGGTTCTTCTACTATTGGCCCTATATCCTTTATATAAACATTGTATATATTCAGTCATTTCCACATCGGATGATGGAGTGTAACTCTTTCATGTCCCCTCAAAATATGCAGAGAATCTAAATTTATGTCAGTTAAAAGAGTAACCCCAGCTATAAACATATGGTGACAACGATTGCAACGATTATAAACCGCCTGTGTTCTTATCAGTGGTTTATATTATCTCCTCACTTGACCACAAAAATAATCAAAATTCATGCATTGAACATAAGGCTTTAATATATTGTGACCACTTGAGAAAAAAAAAAGATCTTTCCTTAACTGTATTCTTACATATTAATAGTATGAGTATACATATTCCATTCTTTATCATCTCTGCGCTGTTGTTGTACAATTTTGTCAAAGCATGGAGATCTGACCCAGGGGTTATTACGACCTCTTTTGAAGAAAAGAAACGGGTAAGGTCCTTTTAACTTGTTACTGTAGTCTAACCCTTGTGCTTATGACTGTGAAACATGGGTGCACAGAGATCTATGTTGTACTTCTAGCTGACTCTGACTTACATAGTTCTTTTTATTGATGGATACAGTAAATTAATAAAAAATGCAGAATGATTTTCTAATCATGTTGAGCAATTTTAAATTGGCAAGTGTGGACCAGTCATTCTTTATCATATACATGATCCATGTAAATATTTTTGATATGCATATATGCTAATTTTGTCTGTCTAATCCATGTATCAAATGATTTTTTATTACAATTTTTAATTAAAAATTAGTACATTGATATATTTTTACGTCATATTCCATAAATTGGTAACAATGTAAAAAGGGGTGGTGCATTAAAACTCACTCACATGCACACCATTTTTGCTTTTTAGCTCCGCTGTCGACTTTGTCAAGCGGAGCTTATCATATGAGTGATTGTCCGTCGTCGTCCGGTGTCGTCCGTCGTCCGTGTCAATGTTTTACTTTTTCGACTTCTTCTTGAAAACTACAAGCCTGAATGCTTTGATACTTGGTGTATATGTACCTTGGGTAGACCTCTCTTAGGTTTGTTCATTTCATGTTGATATCTTCAATTCTCTAATTTTGGTGAATATTTTTGTCATTTTTGGTAAAAAGTGATATTTTCGACTTCTTGTTAAAAACCGCAAGTGCAATTGCTTTGATATTACATATATAGGTACTACATGTGGACCTCTCTCAGATTT